CATCCTACTCAGTAAATAAAAAAAAAAATAAATTTTACCACACTTATAAGTCCATGGAAATGCGGCAGAGAGGAGTTTCTGGGGGTGTTTTTATGGTAACATACCGAAATTATCAAAATTTACATTTAAGGTAAATTTTCCTCGGTAATTACCAAAAAAAAAATGTACGTAAATTGTACATCTCTAAATCCAAATATACACCACTATAGCGATTCTGAATGAGTTTTTTATTATTTTATGAATATTCAAAATTTTTTTTTAGCAATGGATTAACCCATGTAGACATAGTATTTCATAGTTACACATTTACGTGTTTCGTTAAATTTATATCATATTATTGTAGACATTACAAATAAGCTAGTTAATAGTTATATTGCATAATTTGACGAGACGTCAACCAAATAAACTAGGAACATAATATAGCACGAATTATCGAGGTAATCAGATGATTAGCAACTAAAGGTTACAATGAAATACAAAATATATTTTTAAGTACTATATTATTCTAATATCTATTTTCGGTTATTTGAGAATAAAGTATCGTGATTAGTACCTGTATTGTGAATACCGTGGATACGGGTATTACCAAGGTAAAATCATTCTAAAAATAACCCATCGCAATTTCATTATTAAGACTTGTTGTTGTCTGTCGATCCGTGGTAATGAAAATATTAATATTAACACATGAGCGACTGAGTAAGCTATACCTAACCATATTATACCCTTCTACAATACAGACGATAGTCGGCTGGTAGTGTCTTGTATTTTAATGTATGTTTCATACTTCGTGGATATTGTTACACTGTTGAATTATTCGATACCCCATCTTATATAATTTTGGCCCGTGTTGTTTATGTTTTGTGCTATTCTGTAACATACAATTATTAACTGAATTGTATTCATACAATATTTGGTATTATTTAGCAGCACGCTGCGATTGTTATATTAACAATTGTTATTCGTAGCCGTCGCCCAAGTATAAGTACAATTTGGTGGCCCTGAAAAGGGCCTTTTTAAGGTATGATAATCTTAATGACGATTATCAAATTAAGCACGTTCACCGCGGATACGACGGGCCAACTGGATGTCCTTTGGCATGATCGTGACACGCTTGGCGTGGATTGCGCAGAGATTGGTGTCTTCGAACAGACCCACCAAGTATGCCTCGCTGGCTTCTTGCAACGCCATGACGGCGGAGCTCTGGAAACGCAGGTCGGTCTTGAAGTCCTGAGCGATCTCGCGCACTAGACGTTGGAACGGCAATTTGCGGATCAAAAGTTCTGTGCTCTTCTGATAACGACGGATTTCACGGAGGGCAACGGTTCCCGGGCGGTAACGATGTGGCTTTTTCACTCCTCCGGTGGCGGGTGCGCTCTTACGTGCGGCTTTGGTGGCCAACTGCTTCCTGGGAGCCTTTCCGCCGGTGGATTTACGAGCTGTCTGCTTGGTACGTGCCATTGCGCTGCTGTATTGTTCTGTGTGGGACTGCTAAACGTGAATGCTGAACGAATGATGCGGTTCGGCACACAGTCGACCGGTATATATACGTAAATCGGAACCGTGTGGGTCGTCCTCATTGGTCGATGTCCAACGGTTAGAATTTTAGTGGGGGGATAACCGGTCATGGTTGCGATTGGTGGTTCGGCTTCGAGAGAAACGGATAAAAGGGACTGCGACCCCGGCAGAAGTATCAGTCAACGTTCAGTTCACATCCGAACAAGTCCAACACTACTCCAACATTCAAAATGACAGGACGTGGCAAAGGAGGAAAAGGTCTGGGAAAAGGAGGCGCGAAACGTCATCGTAAAGTGCTCCGTGATAACATCCAGGGAATCACCAAGCCCGCCATCCGTCGGTTGGCCCGTCGAGGCGGTGTCAAACGTATCTCCGGTCTGATCTACGAAGAGACCCGTGGAGTTCTGAAGGTGTTCTTGGAAAACGTGATCCGTGACGCAGTCACATACACCGAGCACGCCAAGAGGAAGACCGTCACCGCCATGGACGTCGTGTACGCTCTCAAACGTCAAGGCCGTACACTGTATGGTTTCGGAGGTTAAATACTGACTTTTGAAGTTTCAAAACAACATCATCTTAAAAAGGCCCTTTTCAGGGCCACCATATGACAGTATATTATCGTTTATAACATTAAATTTGAAGAATCCAACAAAGAATAGTCTGTTCTACTGCAGTCGTAGTAGTCGGTTATATTCGGTGGCGACAATTCTAATTCACAATCATCTGTTTAACACGGAGAATAACGTCCCGAATATATTATATTGTTTTAGATTATCTATGTATTGTTCCTCTGAACGTTTTTCCATGATTATAATTGAAAATATAGTGTAAGTCAAAACCAGAGATTTTAAATATCCTAGATAAGTAACTAGCCGTTATCATTGAAGCAGCAACATACTAGCCTACTGATGATTACCGTCATTTGAAAAAATGTAAATTTGTCGATATCGTGTAATGATGTACTTTCAGTTAGAGACTGTTTTTTATATAAAAAATTGCATTACCCGTTCGCCAAGCACGAATAGAATAGTATTGCTCTCGATGACGATCCTGTTGGAAACATTTTTGAGATTAAATGGGCACAGAAAAAGATACACCTTACTGAGTCAGGTGTAATTGATCACGGCATTGAGAGTATAGAAAACAATTATGATGAGATGTTATTAAATAAAACATCAATTATGAACAATGATAGCTCTAATTTATATGATCAAAATTTAAACATATTATATTATATAGCAGGCTTTGTTGTAAGAACAATTTCACCAAAAGTCTTCTGTACTTCCTGCAAGAAAAGCTTATTAAAAAAACAAACAGAATTTTTATTTTAACTGATAACTTAGACAATATGAATAATATACAAAAGTATCAACAAAAATCATAATATTAGTGAAAAACTATTTTTCTCAGAATTCTCAAATACTTGGTGAATTAGATTGTGAAGATGAAAATATGTTGGCAAGCCCACATAGATTAGAACTAATCAAATTAGTTGTTAGCATGTACTTAAAAATAAGATTTCGTGCATTTGCAAAAAATCTTTCTTTGGCTATAAATTGCACTAGTAAAAGACATAAATTCAATAAACTTGTTTTTAAACCTATAATGTATAACATCAAGGTTACAAATTTATAATTTGTATTATGTATAATTTATAATTTGTATAGTTATTAATTTATAATTTACTATGTGTAGTACGATATTGTATATGAACTGTACATTTATACCTAATCTGTGTAGAAAATAATTTAAGGACATTTTTAATCTAAATAATAAAAAAAAATTCAGCTCCTATAATATGTTTTACTATATCCAGCGGCATAACTTGACCTCTTTACAAATGGCGGACGTTTAGAACAGCTGGATTCAGATTATGTGATAGGCGATATTGATAGTTGGTTATCTAGGTTATTTAAAATCTCTGGTCAAAACATGAAAATAACATTATATCTCGTTGATAACATAATCTTGTTATCATATTACTGCGGGACTTTTAGGTTAATCATTACTATTTTCTGCTAATGATGCTATTGTCGAATAAATTGCTGCCTGGTTTGGTGATGAGTTTATTGTTTTTGTGAATTTCAGTGGTGAATTACTACATCACTACGTCATTCGTTTCGTGAACCTACCATTAATAGGTTTTTGTTTAATGATTCATCTTTAGAATGTTTTTTTTTCGATTTTCACTATTATATACATTTAATATTACAATTATTATTACAATTAAACTTCGAATAAAATATTAATTGAGTGCATGGCGGGTAGTGTTGCGGAATAGCGAGAATTTTTTTCATGTACTTAATCACTTGTCAGACGGAGACAACGAATGCGTGTACGTGCAGGCCACGACGTTGCGCAGGTGAACTGTAAGCAATTTATGTTCATTTTTTTTTTATTTTACTTTTCGTCAATCCAGATAACGCGATGAGACTTCTGGACACTTATTTGCAGTAGTCTCGTTAATATGACTACTTGTCTTGAGTTCGATCAGCACACATTTTAAGATTATTCGTTTATTTTATTTAAATTTAAAATTTAGGAAAATATTAGACATTTAATCAAAATTGATAGGAGTTTAGGAACGAGAAAATCGTACTCAAATCAGTTTTCCAAAAGTCTTATCACGTCATCCGGTCCATCGGTGTGGTTGACAAAAAGTGCATACAAATGAACATAAATCGTTGCAAATTTGCATTGAGTTTCGACCAAAGTCCTTTAGCAAATGTGTCATTATAATCATTTATTCGGTAAAGTACGATTGAGACGAGATTTATTGATAAAGTCTGTCTCGTTAAAATTTCAGGTAGAAACACGCCGGTGACACCGCGCCGCGGCACAGTCCTAAAACCGTCATATTCGAACAGCCACTGTTCATCGGAAAATCGGTCGATTGGAAATCTGCAAACGCCACGGTCTCGGGAAACTCGTGGAGAATTCATCCAAAATATTTTCGTCAATTTTCGACCGGTTGCAGTCGTACGACGGACCTTCAAATACGGTTTACGAAAACCCGGTCGGAAGTGTGGAAATAACGACTCGTGGTGGTTTCGTGGTACCGGGTCCCGATGCAATAGTCATTGGCGATCGTTTAGAATTTTGTTAGCTCGCCAAAAAGTTCAAAGCCACATTTTTACCACCATTTCCCGTTGAGATATTTTGAAAAACCATTGTACAACCGTAGCCCGGAGGACGACGCGAATCACACTGGTTTACTAGTCGGTACGGTGCACTCTATAAAACTACACATTTTTACACACAATTGCTATCGCTTCTGCTGTAGTTGCTTACAATGGTATATAAGTTCTATGTCATATATTTAAATACTAACTATTTATAACTAATTAATATATTATTCTTCTAAGTTCTAACTTGAGCACTTCAAACACATACCCGGTGTTGAAGACGTCGCAAAACCATAACATATTTATGTCGAATATTCAACTGGTGCAAACGACTCAACTACTTCCCACTGCCGTGGAAACATGCCACAGTCATCACTATTCCGAAGCCTGGCAAGGACTTATCCAACCCTGTCAACCATCGTCCAATTTCTCTGCTTAACACGATGTCAAAAGTCCTGGAGAAACTTTTGCTCATCAGACTCAAAACCCACACCTCCTCCAAAATTCGACCCGATCAACATGGCTTCAGAACTTCTCACAGCACATCAACTCAACTTCTAAGAGTCTGAATTACTTTCATCCGACACACTTATAATACCAAATAAAAAGGCCCTTTTCAGGGCCACCAATTATAATACGGTATTGTACATTATGCAACACATCCTGTTCGAATTACTACATTAGGTAGAGCTTGTGTATATCTAGTTGATTGTTTTGGATTTCGAATACTAATATCAAAAAGGAAAAATTAATATCAACAATCGTAACTGGTACCGGTGACTAACTAATGGATTGAAATCATTAACATAAAAAATGATTACTTTTTAAAGGGCACAAAATTAGATTTTGTTTTATAATCAAAAACATAGTTCCTTTATGTATACTGTTTTAGTAGTATTGAACTAGGGATTGCTATCTGATCAAACATTTTTGTTATTATGATGATGTTAACATAGCCAAATGTGATAAACATTTTTTTCAGCAATTGATGAAGTTTTGGCGGCAATATGAGGTAAAATTTTAATTGTATTCGTCTGATATAATATTTGACTAGTATAGAAGTAATAATGTGTACTATATAACGACACGTTAGATGTTGCTTTTATATATATTCGTTTAGTAACGATATCACGAGTAGGTGACTAAACTTCAATACTAGTAAAATATTAACATGATAACAACTGATAATACTACAATACTGTTTATGCAGAAAATCATATTGGTTTAAAATGGCTTAGTGGGTTTTGGGGTAAGAGTGAGCAGTATTTCTTATGTGATAATTGACTACCTACTTATATAAACATTTAATTTTTCTAGGTAGAAATTGAATTAATTATATCTATTTAATTATTAACTTATTTAAACTAATAGGTACATTATATCTACGATGTATCAACAAATGATTAAATAATATTATGTAATATTTATTGAATAATTATACTTAAAAAAATTACTTCGACTTAGTATTTACTACTAATACTGTATTAATTATATATTATATTAGGAACTATTATATTATGCATGCATATTATATATATTTATAACTTATTATTTGATAAAAATAATATAGATAACATTCTTTAATAAAATAGAGTTTTATGAATTAATTTAGCAAGCGGCCTATTACCTCATTTGGTTTTCTTTTCAAAAGCAAAGCTTGTAATATTATAACTATTAAATGGAAAAAACCACAACATATTATCCATTTTATGTTTTGTATTTTCAATATAAATACAAATAACATATTAACACATAAATAAATAATAATACAGAGTGAGAGTGATTCATTTTTTATTTAATATTATACTTTACTTTTGTCAATTTGATTTTATATGTAAATATAAATAATTATTAGCCCTTAGGTTAAAATATTAAAGGTCACTGACACTGACTTTAAAAAATAACTGTTTCCATTGTCACGTTAACTATCTCTAATCTTAACATACAAAATCACTGAATCGATTCATTTTCATGAGCCGAATCACATGAAATAGTTCACTAAAATGAAATGAAAGTACCAACCAGACATATAGTCAGTCTTTATCATAGATGTATACAACAATTAGATAGCCCCCCGTTCTTTATGCAGTTGTGACGAGTGTCGGACGCCGGACTTTTAACGACTGTCGTCTTTTATCTACATATATATTTTATGTATGGACTGGAGGTATCTTGGAAATCATTGCTTGCTTTGTAAATGTCAGTGGACCTACAAATGTTGAGAACGCGACAGTTGTATAGCATGTATTGGTCACAACAAGTGGTAACAACAATAAGTTTAGTGGCCCTGAAAAGGGCCTTTTTAAGATTGTACGTATGTATGTGTGGGGGTTAGCCTCCGAAACCGTAAAGGGTACGGCCTTGACGTTTCAGTGCGTTAACGACGTCCATAGCGGTGACTGTTTTCCTCTTGGCGTGTTCGGTGTATGTGACTGCGTCGCGGATTACGTTCTCCAAGAACACTTTCAACACACCACGTGTTTCTTCGTAGATCAAACCGGAGATACGTTTCACTCCTCCGCGGCGAGCTAACCGACGAATGGCAGGCTTGGTGATTCCTTGGATGTTATCCCGCAACACCTTACGGTGACGTTTGGCGCCTCCTTTGCCAAGACCTTTCCTCCTTTACCGCGTCCTGTCATATTTGGTTTTGTGTGGTTTCTTGGCGTTGAATACTGGGCAAACTGCTGCTCTGAACGCTGAACGTAGACTGATGCCGAGCCTTGCCTTGCCTTTATAGGACGGCCTATGGCCTATTTAGAGCTCCAGGCAGTTGCCTTTTCTCTCTAGTTTGATTTGGATTGCTTTAGGTTTTTAGGACTGTTTGTTTTTGAATTTTATGCTGATAGTTTTTGTATGTGTTGGTATCTTGATATTGAGGCCTTGTAGTAACTAGTCTGGGTTGCGTGTTTTATGATGACTGAGAGGGGTTCTAGGTTTGCTGCCGAGCAATTGGAACGTCGTCGTATTTATGCGTTTTACGACGCGCGCACGGCCAATCGAAACGCTCGACCGGATTTTCCCCACCCTTGAACTAACAGCCGCGTGCCGACCAACGGGAACGAAGGATACGATTCCGATTTGTGTATATAAACGGGTGTTTTTAACATTTTTGTAAGATAATATAATGAGTTCTGCATCTCAGTCTCAGCAGTCCAGTCCAACACCTCAAAGTGACGTTCAGCGTTGAACACGGCACTACTTCGGCTGCACGAGCTCCAAAGCCAGACACCATACTGTAAGTACCTTTTTACTAGTCCCCCCCTCCCGACCACGAGGCAAGTGTACCCGAGGGTCCACGCAGCCGGGTCTAGCACCGAAGCATAGGCATCCCGTCAGCACACCATGGCGCGTACCAGAAAACAAAAAGATTCCCCACCGAAAAACAACACCAAGAATACAACAACCGAAGTCCAGATCTCCAACGACGTCCACGAAGCCGCCCATAACCTGTCCACTGAATCTGAACATTTCTTAACCTCGGACGATGAAATTACATCCATTCACACAAATTCCAACTCTGAAAATAGCAACCAAGACTCCTTCATCGAGGATACCGAATCTAAACCCTCAAGCAATATCAATAACCCTACTCAACAGGAAAAAACTACCGACTCTATCAAGACCAAAAGAATCCCCCCAATTTTCCTGTCAATAAAACCTGAATATCCGTGGCGCGTAGTAGCAAAACAACTTTACAAAAACACTGCTCATGCATATGTGGAAGCCAAAACTACGTCAAAACCAAATGAAATCCAACTAAACTGCCATGACGAAACTAGTTTCTGCTCAGTACAATCCTTCCTAGTTTCAATTCAAGACAAAGTAGGTTACCACACCCACGCTCTTCCAAGCCAACGAAACCTAAAAATTGTTATTAAAGGTATCCCACTAGATATTACCAACCAGGAAATAACCGAAGAACTCGAACTCAATGGTTACGAACCCACGTTTATCCGAGCATTCTTCAAAAATGGTCACAGAATCCCGCTTCATATGATTACTCTAGCCAATATTGATCAAGCCAAAGAAATTTACCAATTAACCAAACTCTTCTTTGTCAACGTTAAGATCGAGCCATATAGATCATCTGGACCGGCACAATGCTATAAATGTCAAAACTTTGGCCACTCTTCTCTTCAATGTGGTCACTCGGCACGATGCGTAAAATGCGGTGACGCCCACGCATCCAGATCATGTACCAAACCACTTGACGTGTCGCCCAAATGCTGCAATTGTGGGGAAAACCATACTGCAAACTACCGAGGATGCTCTTTCTACACAAACCTTACGAAACAAAAAGAACCCCAAAACAGAAACCCACCAAGTAACTCCAATCATCCTACAATCATTGAGTCTCCGCCTGTACAAGATCCAATCATCGTACCAAGCAACCCATCCCCTCAAACCCTCTACAAAAAATCATTTGCTGAAGTTACCTGTGCTCAAAAACTACCTTTGTCTGAGCCCTCAATCACTGTCTCCAAAGTACTACAAATAATACACAGACTTCTAACATCCGCACAGAAATGTAAGGATCTCACGACCAAGGATTCTATCATTAACACAATCATGTCAATCATCTCTGAAATACCGACCCAAAATGAATAACTTAAATATTCTTTTTTGGAACTGCAATGGTATAAAACATAAAATCAATGAACTACAAGTATTCGCAAGACTAAACAACATCCACATCATCCTCTTACAAGAAACTAGATTAAATTCATCAACAATTCTCAAAATACCAAATTACTTCACCTACAGACAAGATCGCCCACTCAGACCCAGATCTCCACCAGCTGGTGGCACTGCCATACTTATACGTAAGAACATAGTACATAACCATGAAGTCTTGAATACTACTCTAGACTCAACCACAATTACGATCAAGCTCGGTAACGAACAAATTCGTATCACATCTATGTACAAAAGCCCAAATACTCCTTTACAAACAAACGATCTGGACATCATAACCAACCACGGAGGCCTCTTTTTAGCGGCAGGAGACTTAAATGCAAAAAACCAGTCCTGGAACTGCCGCACCACAAACCAGGCAGGCAAAACTCTCCTACAGCACATGGAATCGTACAACACCTACTCAATCTGCGCACCAGACTCTCCAACACATCACTCTTACAATCCACAACACAGGCCTGAAATATTGGACATCGCACTTGCAAACCTTCCCTATAGCGAAATCAACCTAACCAACCATAACGAGCTAACCTCTGATCACAATCCGATTGTAATGACCATAAGCGACTCTCCCATAACAAGCAACCCTCCAGCAGCCAAGAAGAGGATAAACTGGCAAAAATTCAAACAAGTACTACTGCGTAATTATCCTAAAAAGATAACCAACTTGAAAAATCCTTCAGAAATTGATAACGAGGTCCTACACATTACTTCATCAATCCAATCAGCAATGACGGAATGTTCTTATACTGCAAACCAAACCCAAGTCTCTGAGCCCCTCCCACCCAGGATTTTACAAGAGATCACCATCAAACGGAACCTTAGGAAAGACTGGCAACGTACAAGGGACCCAGCAGTCAAGACTATGCTAAATTCTCAAATATCGTACGTCAGAAACCTCCTGAAGGAACACCGCCAATCAACATGGGACAAATTCACAAGCACACTCAACTTCCAAGACCGTTCCCTTTATAAATTAAATCGTCGTCTACTCCACAAAAAACCAGCAATTGCTCCTTTGAAATCTATCTCTGGCCAAAAATTCTATGATACCAAATCCAAACTAGAACTATTTGCCGACACAATGAAAGAGCAGCTCACTCTCAACCAGGGGACCGACCTCCCAGAAGTCACATACTCAATTGAAGAGCTCAATAGAAATACAACCAAATCAACTCTATTCTCTTCCCCCAAGGAAATATGGGAAATAATAAAAAATTTACCAACCGGCAAAGCTCCAGGCTGCGACAACATACCAAATGCTGCACTCAAACACCTCCCAGCCTCTGCTGTTGTTAGTTTAAATAATATTTTCACAGCTTGCCTCAGACATTCTCATTTTCCTAAACCTTGGAAAACTGCTTCAATAGTTATGATCCCCAAACCCTACAAAGATCACAGTTTAGCCAATAACTATAGGCCAATATCATTACTTACTACAATGTCCAAAGTATTCGAGAAGGTGCTTCAAAATCTCCTCACGAAACACATCAAGCCGAGAGCTGAACAACATGCGTTCAGACATGGTCATTCGACGACAACCCAACTTTCTAAACTCGTAGACGATCTGGTAATCAATACTAACAACAACAGACACACCGCAGCCATATTCCTAGACATGGAAAAAGCTTTTGACAAAGTTTGGCACGATGGACTAATCCACAAACTTCACACAATGTCTACAGTCCCCACACATCTAGTTAAAATCATACAATCCTTCTTGTCAGACCGAACCTTCAGAATCAAGATCTCTGACCATACATCTACAGAAAGAACGATAGAAGCAGGTGTCCCCCAAGGCTCGTGTCTCTCCCCCCTTCTATACAGCCATTATATTAACGATCTCCCAACCACTCCATATGTGTCTACGTCCCTATTCGCTGACGACACGATGTGTACTATATAACGACACGTTAGATGTTGCTTTTATATATATTCGTTTAGTAACGATATCACGAGTAGGTGACTAAACTTCAATACTAGTAAAATATTAACATGATAACAACTGATAATACTACAATACTGTTTATGCAGAAAATCATATTGGTTTAAAATGGCTTAGTGGGTTTTGGGGTAAGAGTGAGCAGTATTTCTTATGTGATAATTGACTACCTACTTATATAAACATTTAATTTTTCTAGGTAGAAATTGAATTAATTATATCTATTTAATTATTAACTTATTTAAACTAATAGGTACATTATATCTACGATGTATCAACAAATGATTAAATAATATTATGTAATATTTATTGAATAATTATACTTAAAAAAATTACTTCGACTTAGTATTTACTACTAATACTGTATTAATTATATATTATATTAGGAACTATTATATTATGCATGCATATTATATATATTTATAACTTATTATTTGATAAAAATAATATAGATAACATTCTTTAATAAAATAGAGTTTTATGAATTAATTTAGCAAGCGGCCTATTACCTCATTTGGTTTTCTTTTCAAAAGCAAAGCTTGTAATATTATAACTATTAAATGGAAAAAACCACAACATATTATCCATTTTATGTTTTGTATTTTCAATATAAATACAAATAACATATTAACACATAAATAAATAATAATACAGAGTGAGAGTGATTCATTTTTTATTTAATATTATACTTTACTTTTGTCAATTTGATTTTATATGTAAATATAAATAATTATTAGCCCTTAGGTTAAAATATTAAAGGTCACTGACACTGACTTTAAAAAATAACTGTTTCCATTGTCACGTTAACTATCTCTAATCTTAACATACAAAATCACTGAATCGATTCATTTTCATGAGCCGAATCACATGAAATAGTTCACTAAAATGAAATGAAAGTACCAACCAGACATATAGTCAGTCTTTATCATAGATGTATACAACAATTAGATAGCCCCCCGTTCTTTATGCAGTTGTGACGAGTGTCGGACGCCGGACTTTTAA